GACAATCCCAGAGGACACCGACCAAGAAACAGGGGAGTGACTTGGTCTTCTGCACTACTTTACTCCTACCCCTTTTTTTTTTTTTTTTTTTTTTTGTTCTTAGGGGAAGAGAAGGATTTTTGCAGCCCAAGAACCTCTTGCCCCCAAGTTTTGGAAGGGGGGGTTGAAGACTTGTCACCCATCTGGGGGTGCACGAAGGGTACTGCTTTTCTTTCTGTGTCAACTTGGTTTTGTGGAGGTTTGGAAGAGAATTTTGCCTGGGAGAAGAGGATGATGTGGAAGTGGCTGGGCGCCCTGCTGCTCTTCCCGGTGCAGATGGTGTACCTGGTGGTGAAAGCTGCCGTGTGCCTGGTGCTGCCGCCCAAGCTCCGGGACCTGTCCCAGGAGAACGTGCTGGTCACCGGCGGGGGCCGCGGCATCGGTCGCCACCTGGCCCGGGAGTTCGCCAGGAGAGGAGCCAGGAAGGTGAGAGCATCGCCGTGGAGGGGAGGGGGGAGCGCCCACCTGCTGCTCTGCCGGGGAGTCCCCCCCTTTCCCTCCCCTCCAGGTGGGATTGATGGGATCGCCTGGAAAAGCTGATGGAGAAGGGGCTCTCGTTCTGCAGAACCCCGGCGTGCTGAGCCATTGCACTGGGGACATTTCAGAAGTTGCCCGCTCCTCCTTCCCTGCATCCTGCCTTTCCCCGTCTCATCCAAGAAAACGTGACGGTGAGAAAGGGCCCCCTCGTGAATTCCCCTCTGCTGACAAAGGTTTTTGCCCCAGCCCAGGGTTCCCGTGGCAGGGAGAGGAGAGCCCGGTGACTCCCGTGCGTGGGGCCGGTGCTGGTTTCCTGGCAGTGCTGGGATCATGGACAGAGAGGCTGAGCCCACCCTGAGCCCTCCCGAGGCACAGCGACTGCCACTCCCACGCGTGGCACCCCAGAGGGAGGGGGCAGATGGCTCTGGGAGAGTGGGGACAGCAGTTCCCTTTCACCCCGATGGGTATCCATGCACGAAATTAATTTCTTGTGCTTCCCGAAGCCCCCTTGTATTTTGGTTTTGGGCAGCCCAGAGCTGCCCAAGGGGAAGATGAATGAGAACCCAGCAAGGAAGGAAAGCACAGCTCGAGTGGGAGCTGTGAGGTTGTTTGCACGTTTCCTTTAGGAGAGAGGGAGAGAGGCTGAGACTGGTGTGTCTGCACAGCAGCCCAGCAGAGCCAGTGTAGCTGCTGTGTCCATTCTCTAGCTCAGGAACTGGTGGTTTACCTTGAAATGTGGTGTTTTCCCAAGTACAGGTATGTCCATGTGTGTGACTCAGTCAGGGATACAGAAACACACATCCCTGAAATGAGGCTTGGGATGGAAGGTTTCATCTCCCCCTCGATGGGTAATAAAGGGGAGGAATGGTGAAATTAGACAGCTGCACAAATACTTCTCTGTGTGAGAGGATGAATGAGAGTAAATAGAGGATAGAGAAGAGAAAAAATACAGAATGAGAGGATATTTAAAGAAAAAAATTTGCATTTAGTTTGGGATAATGTTTTGTCACTTCCTTACACATGCATTACAGTTTTCCCTGTGTGGTACAGAGCTATTCTGGCATTCAACTCCGAGGTGTAAAATATGTCAGCATTGAACTTTGATGTTTGTCTATGTTTGTGTTTAAACATCATGTTGAGATTTACACATTCTGGGAGTCAGAGCAAACAAGTTGACTGACCTTTGGACCCAAGCAATTTGCTGAAAGTGTATTTATATTATCTGTTGGAATACCACGCTTCATTATTTATTTATTTAGGGCGGCTGGTTGCTATGCTGAGCTCTGGCATTAAAGTGCCACCATTTCTACAGCTCTTTCAAGAGCTGCTTTGCTGCAGTCGAGCTGGGAGCTGAACAATGGCTGTTGGCCCTGAGGAACCAGGGGACAGGGGCCAAGAAGAGATGGGGCTGTTTGAGAGAGAGAGCTGGGATGAAATCACTGTAAACAGGCACGGACTATAGTTCATCTTATGTCATCTATAAAATCTCTACACATCTTAGAAGGAAAGAATAAATGAGAGTAATGGTTGGGAACCTTTGTACTTGTCTCACATAATGTTGTGAAATGCTCTGTTTGCTGGTTAGAACTTTGGGGGGTTTTGCCTTTTGAGATATTTTCATGTCTGTCATCAGGGTGTTTTAAGTTTTTGTATTGACTCAATTTGAATTAGATTCTCCTTTCAGTTACATCAGTGCCATGCAGTGAGCCAAGCATGGCACTCAGCAAGTTCTGATCCCCCCCGGCAGTGGCACTGCCTGTCAGCCTTTGGTAGAAACACCAAACTCAACTTATTCTCCTTAAGACTTTTAATGGCAATTTTACCTACATGTGGTAGTTTCCACTCCCATTGCTCTGAGATTTCATTTCTTTCCCGCCTTCTGTGCCCAACCCTGACTTTGTGGGTTTGATGCAGCCTCCATGGACTGAGCAAAACCTCTGCTTAGCACCACTCTTTGACTTTACACTTTGCCTCAGACAATCAAAAACACATGAAAAAGACTTGAAGTGGCTACCAAGTCATCTTTTGCTAAGGCTTGTGAAAATTGACTATTTGGTTTTTCTCTTGTCTTTTTACCCCTTTAACTGTTTTACAAGTACTTGTAAAGGTTGAATTATTGATCGCAATTAACAATTTATAACAGACTCCGATTACCGGACGGCGTAGCTACAATATTCCGAGTTCAGAAAAAGACATCCACCAAAGGCATGAAATTCCAGGGCCTGGCCCAGTGTCTCGAGGAGGTGGATGGCAGCAGGAACAGGCAGGTTCAGGTCCCAGCAGTGGGTGTGCAGCGTGTCCTGAGCGGGTCCCCCCGGCGCCTGCGCACACAGACATAGTGGCGGGGTTTTGGAGGTAGGCGGCGATATATAACCATATTTTTGAGATTAGAATCTCCACAAAGATAGGTTAGTTGGGACTGTGAGCATATGAAACTTCCTCTGGCAACTAGACTGGATGGGATTTCATCTGACACTGTTGCAGAGGCTGGTTTTGTTACTCACAAGTGCGATGTGTCTGAGCTGTTTCCCTGTGAGGTGACAAATGTCGCGTCTCACCAAGGTTACGAATGGTCACATCTGCAGCTCTGTTACTGTAAAATTTGATCTTGCATTTAGAGCTGTGAAGATGGCAAGAAATAAATCCCAGAAGGGTTTATGCAAATGGAAATACAGTGGCTTCTGCTTGACCCACGAGCACGGAGACTGAAATTCTCAGTTAGGAGAATGGAATTCTCTTGGGCATGATCATTTAAATCCATCCAGATTCCCATTCTCTACTCCCGTTTTTTTATGTCCATTGCTCTGCCATTGTACCTCAGATGTGACTTGGACAGATAAATGTCTAGGAGACATTTCCTTCTCAGGTGATGTTTCCTTTCCAGTGGTTGTTCATTGGCCTCTCTGATGAAATGGCCAAGAAGGGCACAAAGCCGTGCCAGCTCTATTTGCAATTTCAGAATTTTCTGCTTTTTTCAATTAACAACTTTGAGGCAATGAGAGACTTCAATTATTAGATCATCCCTGCTCAGGTGTACCCTGAGAGGTCAGAGGATCTATACTCCATTTGTAATTTCAAGTAGCTGTCAAGGACTACTTGGTCATGGGAGGCCTTGTGTATCGAAATGCTTCCTGGAGCACTTCTGGAAAAAGCCAAGAGCATGTAAATGAGCTGCATGCAGAGCTGGAGTGGTTACAGATGATGCAGGACATGTTAGTGTTATTATGAGGGATGAACAGCCCTGTCTTTTCTCCGGAAATGCTCAAGTGTTGTAATTCAACTTCCCAGAGATGTGTCCAGATTCGTAAGTGCCGGCTGAGGAGCTACTTTGCTGTGGCTGAATTGCTGGAGAAATGAACTTTTCTGGCTTTCAGTTCCTTCTTGGTTGCTTGCAAAATTCATAGTCCTCACTGTTGTTGGCTTTAACTCTTGAGAATTTTGACTGTACCTTAAAAGTCTTTGGGAGCAGAGCATCACCTCTGCCTCAGTCTCACACACTGGTAGCTCTGTCGAGGCTCGGAGCTGTCGATCCTCTGTGAGCCAAAATGGCAGAGAATGTCTGTTAATGAAACAGGAGAAGGAGAGATTTTTATGAGTTTATGATTTAATGCCTATGAAATAAAAATCCACTTCCAAAGCCTAATGGTGTTTTGCAAAGACTGTACTGTATAATCCAGTTAATTTTGGGAAGACTGGCCCCTTTGAACAGTATTTCTTGTGTTGGAGAGCAGCCCTCTGCAGATGTGAGCAGTCAGGGGGTGTGGGGGCTGAATGGGTTCATTCACTGGTGGGTACAGTGGGAAACTGCTCCTGGTTTCCTCACAGCCATTTGCTTTTCATACAGCATTTTCATTATAGTGCCTTTGCCAGGGAGTTGTCAGCCCTGGTTTTGATGGTCTCCAGTGCTGAAGTTTTGATTGATGTGTTTTTTGTGTGTCATTTGTACGCCTTGCTCTTTTGTTAGGCACTACTTGAAAGCTTCTGCTTTGAAAACTGATCAGAGATTGTTGTTGTTGTCTTGGTTTTGTTTTCCTTATATTCCTCCCGAATTTGTTTAGGCTACAAAAATAACCAACAACCCTGAAATCTCAACTGTTCTTTCCGTCGTTATTTTCACAACATTTGTCAAGGTCAGACCTTCATGTCTGCATTTTGGAAGATCCCTTGTCATTTGGGTGTGCTGTCCTCTTTCAGCTCAGTGATAATTGGGGTGGTAAGATGTCAGTGGAGGAAGGAGCACCAAGGAAGGGATGAAAGCTGTGCAAGCCCACACTGCTCCTGAAACCTGGAGTTTCCCTCAGTGCTCCACTAACTCCAGCAGAACTGAAAACCTCAGAGGAATTGCTGGTGCCTGAGAGCCTTGTATAATTGGAGGGGTTTAGCTGTGTGAGATTTAAGGCTATTAATTGTGTTTAAGCTGAGAGTATTGCAGAGAGGTTACGTAAAAAATGGTATCAGGTCTTAGAATTTAGCCTTGTATTCCCAGTAATGGAAAATCTGGCAAGTTTTGAGATGAGTTTTACAATGGCACGCTCCTCCCACACAAACTGCATCTGTAGGTCTATGAATTTTTCACTTTGGTCTTTATGAATCACGTTGACATATTATTTCACAGAATAAGCTGAGTTGGAAGGGACCCACGAGGATCGTCAGGTCCAGTTCTTAAGTGAATGGCCTATATGTAATTGTCTTGGTTTGTAGGGATTAATATATAGTAGGGATTAATATATACTTTCTAAAAACTTCTTTCTAACACATACCCCTGCTATATGATAAAAGATTAACTGCATTGTGACTAGAGCTGGAAATTAAATTAATACTGGTCTCCTGAAGTGAGGGCAAAATACCAACACTGCTGCAGTTTCAGAGCTGGGCCCTTTTTTGAGGTGTAGCACAAAAGCTGTGAGTATTTCACATGGGTTCACTAAAAATTCTTATTCTAAAATTTT